CACCACTGGTTATGGAGACAAGACATGTAGACCACCACAGGGAGACAAGATACAAGAGACCATCTCATTATGGGGAGACAAGACACACACACCACCACAGGAGACAAGACAGCAGACCCACCACAGGAGACAAGACACAGACTACCACAGGGTAGACAAGACAGACCACCACAGGGAGACAAAGCAAGGAACACCACAGGGAGACAAGACACAGGACCACCACAGGGAGTGACAAGACAGCCAGACCTCACCTCAGCCAGGAGACAAAGACAGACCACCACAGGAGATGCACAGCACATGCCACCACAGGGAGGATAAGACAAGCAGAGACCAACACAGGAGAGCCAAGACAGTTACACTACCCAGGAGGGGAGTGCACAAGACACAGACCACCACAGGAGACAAGACACAGACCACAGGGGAGACAAGACACAGACCACCACAGGAGACAAGACAGACCACCACAGGAAGAGACAAGACAAGCTGGTAGACCACCACAGGAAGACAAGACACAGACCACCACAGGAGATAAAGACACAGACCACCACAGGTTAGACAAGACATAGACCACCACAGCGACAAGACATAGACCACCACAGCAGGAGACACAGACCACCAGCACAGGGGAGACAAGACACAGACCACAGGGAGATGCATACACCACCACAGGGAAGAGGAAGACACAGACCACCACAGGGAGGAGACAAGACACAGACCACCCAGGAGATAAGACACAGTACCAGGAGAGGACAGACCACCACAGGGAGACACAGTGACCACCACAGGAGACAAGACACAGAATTACACCAAGGACAAAGACAAGAGCTGCTGTAGACCACCAAGAGGGAGATGCTGTGACCAATGCCACAGGGAGACAAGACACACAGGTGGACCACCAGGAGACAAGACACAGACCACCAAGCAGGAGAAAAGCACATGACCACCTGAGGAGACAAAGACATGTTGCAGACCACCACAGGGAGACAAGACAGCAGACCACGCCACAGGAGAGCAAGACATGTGACCACAGGAAAAGATGTATGACACAGACCACTACAGGGAGACATGTGACCACCACAGGGGAGACAAGACACAGACTACCATATAAAGACAAAGACAGACCACCACAGGGAGACACAGACCACTACAGGGAGACAAGACACAGACCACCACAGGAGACAAGACACAGACCACCACAGGGAGATGTTGACATGACCACCAGCAGGGAGATGTGCAAGAGCAAAGCCAGACCACCACAGGGAGAGATGCACACAGACCACCACAGAGGGAGACAGAGGCGAGCCGCTGCACCACCCACACACAAGACACAGAATTGCACTACAGTGGGAGACAAGACACAGACCACTGAAGCAGGAGACAAGGAGCCACAGAATTTAACGAAGCAGGGAGACAAAGACATGACCACAGGAAGACACAGACCACCACAGGGAAGATAAAAGACACAGACCACCACAGGAAGACAAGACATGGACCACCACAGAAACAAGGACCACCAAGGAGGAGACAAGACATAGACCCGTACCAAAGGTGGAGACAAGACAACAGGACCACACCATGCAGGGGGGAGAGCAAGACACAGAATCTCACCGTGGCTAGGGACAAGACACAGATCACCAGCAGGAAGAATGCAAGATGCATTCACCACAGGAGACAAGACACAGACCACCAAGAGGAAGACAAGACACAGACCACCACAGGAAGACAAGATACGACCACCACAGGGAGAAAGACAGACCACCAAGAGAAGGATATGGACTGCACGCCACAGGGGAGATGTGAAGACACATGTATCACCATAGGAGACAAGACAGACAGACCATCAGTTAGGAGACAAGACAGACCCTACCACAGGAGACAAGAGCGATCACTACAGGAGACAAGCAAGACAAAGGTGACCACCACAGGGATAAGGACAGCCAGACTACCACAGGAAGACAAGACAGCCAGACCTGCAGACAAGACACATCTTCACCAGCTAAGATGCAAGACACAGACCACCACAGCAGGAAAGAGCCAAGACACAGATCACCAAGTGGGGAGACAAGACACACAGACCACCAGGGAGACACACAGACCACGAAGCAGGAAGACAAGACACAGACCACCACAGGGAGACAAGACAGACCACAGAGGAAAGAAGGTAAGACAAGTCACAGACCACCACAGAAGATAAGACATGACCACCACAGGGAGATGCAAAGACACAGACCAATGCCACAGGAGACAAGATACAGACTACCAAGCAGGGGAGACAAGACACAGACCACCTCAGGAGATGCAAGATACAGATCACCAAGCAGGAGACAAGACACAGACCTTCACTTACAGGGAGACAAGAAGGCTAAGATTCACCATAGGAAGAGCACAGACCACCACAGGAAGACAAGACATGACGCCACTACAGGAGAGCAGAGACAGACTACTATGAGGATAAAGACACAGACCACCAGCAGGGGAGACAGACAGACAGACCACCACAGGAGACAGACACAGACTACCTTACAGGAGAAGAGACTACCCAGCAGGGGAGACACAGGCCTCACTGCCAGGAGATGTATAAGCAGACCACACGCCAGGAAGAGCGAAGCAGACCACCATGCAGGGAGACACAAGATGGCTGCAGACCCAGCCCGCAGTGGGAGACAAGACAGACCAAACCCAGCAGGGAGATGCAAAGGCGACAGATTCACCACAGGAAGAGACAAGACAAGAGACCTGCATCGTACAGGGAAGACAAGATGCCAGACCACTGCCAGGAGACAAGAGACACAGACCAACACATAGGGAGAGCAAGACACAGTAATTGTTTCACAGGGAGACAAGATACAGGACCACCACAGAAGACAAAGCATACAGACTACCAGGGAGACAAGACACATAGACACAGGAGACAAGACATGGGACCAACACATAGGGAGATAAGACACAGGACTACAGGAAGATGCAAGAGACACAGGACCACCACAGGAAGATAAAGACAGTGACCACCACAGGGAGATGCACATGACACCACAGGAAGACAAGACACAGATTCACCATATAGGAAGGAGACAGATTCATCACAAAGAGACAAGACAAATACAGACCACCAGTGGTTGGTAAAAGACATAGTTAATTACCAGAAGCAGGAGAGCAAGGATACAAGACCTCACCAGGGAGACAAGACACAGACTACCAGGGAAGACAAAGGAGACACAGACCACAAGCAGGAGACAAAGACACAGACCACCACACACAGGAGACACAGACCACTGTAGTGAGACAAGAGCCAGACCACGGGCTAGGGAGACACAGACCACCACAGGGAGAGACAAGACACATGCACCACCACAGGAGATGCTATACAGACCACTGCCAGGAGATAAGACAGACTCACCATGTGTGTGAGGGACAAAGACAAAGGCTGCATCTTCAAAGCAGGGAGACAAAGACACAGACCACCATGAGGAGACAAAGACACAGACCACCACAGGGAGACAAGATATTACAGACCACCAGGAGACAAGACACAGACCACCACAGGGAGAGGGCACACACAGTGTGAAAATGCCACCAGACAGGGAGACAAGATGAGCCAGACCACCAAGTGAAGAAGCAAGACAAAGGTGGAATTCACAGGAATATAAGACATGCATTTCACCTTTCATAGGGAGACAAGGACACAGACCTTCACCACAGGAAGACAAGACACACAGGACCACCAGGAAGATGTTAAGGCTAGGAGATCACAGGAGACAAAGATTAGATGCACTCACAGAAATATAAGACACAGACCACAGGAGACAAGACACAGACCACCACAGGAGACATTCACCACAGGGGGAGACAAGACAAGGTATTCACCACAGGGAGGATAAGACGCTACAGACTCACAGGGAGATAAAGACACAGACCACCAGCAGGAAGAAGACAAGACACAGACCACAAGAGGAAAATATAAGAGACAGACCACTAAAGCAGGGGGAGCTGCTGAGAATTCACCACAGGGAGATAAAGACAAGGCACCAATTACAGGGAGACAAGATACAGACCACCCAAAGCAGGAGACAAGAAGGTTAGACCACTGCTGTGGAGAGCAAGACAGACAGACCACCGTTATGGAAGACAAGATGCTTTTATCTCACCACAGTGGGAGACATAGACCACCATAGGGAGACAAGACACAGACCACCAGCAGGGGGAGGACAAGATACAGACCAGAGATGGAGAGCGACAGACCACAGGAAGATGATGAGAAGATGGAGACAAGACACAGACCAAAAAGACAGAAAGATGATGATCACCAGGAAGACAAGGGGTGAATTACCACAGGAAGACAAGACAGACCACCACAGGGAGATGGACACAGACCACCACAGGAGACAGCCAGACCACCATAGGAGACAAGACATGCAGACCATCATGTGAGTGGACAAGAGCCATGACTGCCACCACAGGAGACAAGAGACAGACCACTATAGAGAGCAAGACACAGACCACTACAGGGAGACATGGAATTACAGGGGAGACAAGACACAGACCAACACAGGGAGACAGCAGACCACCACAGGAAGACAAACACATGACTACCACAGGGAGAAGATGTATGACACAGACCACCACAGGAGAAGGACAAGGCAGACCACTACAGGAGAGACAAAGACACAGACTACAGGGGGGAGACAAGATACACCACTAAGCAGGAAGACAAGACATGCAGACCACCACAGGGAGACAAGACATGGAAGACCACCACAGGGAGACAAAGAGAAAGGGTATTCTCACCACAGGGAGATAAAGACATGACCAGGATAAGATACAGACCACCAGCAGGGGAGAAAGAGATGCTGAGACCACCAGTGTGGGAGACAAGACATGACCACCAAGTAGGTGGGAGATAAGACACAAGATCTGCACTTTCATGTGGGAGACAAGACAGATGCCAGACCACTCACAGGGAGAGCAAGACATGTGAGACCACCAGCAGGGGGAGACAAGACATGACCACCACAGGAGACAAGACACAGACTACCAGCAGGAGACAAGACACAGACCACCAACAGGAGACAAGACACACACCACCACAGGGAGAGCCAAGACATGTATCTGCATCACAGGTAGACAAGACACAGACCACCACAGGTAGACAAGACATGGGACCACCACAGGGAGAGACAAGCACACAGACCACCACAGGGAGTGACGGCCAGACCACCACAGGAGACAGAGACCACCACCAGGAGACAAGACCACCCAGGAGATGCTACAGACCACCACGCACAGGAGACAAAGAGCGGCATTCACAGGGAGATGCTGACACAGACCACCAAGCAGGGAGAGGCAAGACACAAATCACAGGGAGGATGCAAGACAGACCACCACAGGGAGACAAAGACAGACCACCACACAGAGAAGACATTCAGCCACAGGAGATGGACATGGACCGCCACCAAGCAGGAGGCAAGACACAGCATTCACCACAGGAGACAAGACACAGACCACCACAAGCAGGGAGACAGACATGGGGTGGGAGACCCTCACCACAGGGAGACACACACATGCAGATAGTGACAGACCACCACAGGAGATGTTATTACAGACTACAGGGAGACACATGGGACCACCACAAGATGGACAGACCAATTACAGAGACAAGGATGACAGACCAAGGGACAGACAATCATGGAGACAAGACAAGGACCCCACCACAGGGGAAACAAGATACAGACCACAGGAGAGCAAGACATTCACAGGAGACAGACCACCACAGGGAGATACAGACCACCATGCCAGGAGACACAGACCACCACAGGGGGAGACAAGAGTGCTGGGACCCCACCAGCAGGGAGGATGGACGACCACAGGGAAGCCAAGACACAGACCACCACAGGAGACACAGACCACCTCACAGGGAGATGCTGACATGGGACCACCATGCCAGGAGACAAGACACAGACCACAGAGAAGCCAGACCACCACAGGGAGACATGTAAGACACAGACCACCACAGGAGACAAAGACACAGACTACCACAGGGAGAGACAAGACACAGACTACCACAGTGAGACAGTGAATTCACCACAGGGAGACACAGACACATCACAGGAAAGGATGCATACAGACCACCAAAGGGAGAAGGGCACACAGCACTACCAGGGAGATGTTGGACACAGACCACCACAGGAGACAAGACACAGACCACCACCACAGGGGAGATGTGTTGAAGGCTAAGACCTCTCACAGTGGGGAGACAAGACACAGACCACCACAGGGAGGCGCACACAGACCACTGCTGAGAGGACATGCTGACACAGCAGACCACCCACAGGGAGAGCCACAGACCACCACAGGAGACAAGACCAAGGAGACCACCACAGGAGACAAGACACAGACTACCATAGGGGAGACACAGACCACCACAGGGGAGACACAGACTCACCACAGGGACAAGACACAGACCTCACTGCAGTGTGGGGAGGACAAGACAAGGGCATCTACCATGCAGGAGACAAGACACAGGACCACTACAGGAGACAAGACACAGACGCCACCAAAGTGCCAGGAGAGCCAAGACACAGACCACCAGGGGCAGGTAGGAGACAAGACACAGTAATCACCACAGGAGAGCCAAGCACACAGACTCACCATAGGGAGAGCAACAGACTCACCACAGGAGAGACAGACTACCACAGAGAGACAAAGACACAGACTACCACAGGGGAGATGACACAGACCACACCAAAGCAGGGGAGACAAGACACAGACCAAGAGGAAAGATGCAGACACAGACCACACACAGGGAGTGACAAGACATGCCAGAATTCACCAAGCTTATGAGACAAGACACAGACTACCACAGGGAAGACAAGATGCCACAGACCACCTACAGGGAGACAAGACACAGACCACAGGGGAGATGCAAGATACAGGACGCAACACACAGGAGAAGGACACAGTGACCTCACCCAGGGGAGACAAGACAGTGACCACCACAGGGGGTATAAGACACAGTGACCACCACAGGGAGATGCATACAGACCACCACAGGAGATAAGAGACACAGACCACTGCCACAGAAGACAAGAAGCAGACCACCACAGGGAGACAAAGACACAGAATTACCAAGTTATGGGGGAGACAAGACACAGACCCACCAGCAGGAGACAAAGACAGTATCTCACCACAGGGAGACAAGACACAGACCACCAAGAAGCAGAGGGACAAGACAAGAAGCAACCACAGGGGAGACAAGACAAGGGTAGACCACAGGAGACAAGGAAGGTATTCACTACAGGAGAAGGAGACACAGACCACTACAGGGAGATGCAAAGAGACATGGGACCATAGGAGACAAGACACAGACCACCATACAGGGAGACAAGACACAGACCACCAGGAAAGACAAGACACAGACCACCAAGAGGGAGATAAAGATGGATGGCATCACCAAGAGGGGAGACAAGACAAGGTATTCACTACAGGGAGAAGGCAACATCACAGATTCACCAGCAGGGGGAGACAAGACACAGAGACCACCACAGGAGACAGCAGACACAGACTACCCCACAGGGAGATAAAGCACACAGACCACCACAGTGGGGAGGAGATGACAGACCACCAAGCAGGAGACAAGACAGACAGACCACTCACAGGAGACAACAGGAGACAGGACCCAATTGGGAGATGACAGGAGACAAAGACAGAGGGAGACAAGACCACCACAGGAGACCACAGGGGAGAGACACAGACCGAGACAAGACACAGGAGCACCAGGGGAGACACAGACTCAGGAGACAAGACACAGACCACCAGAGGAGACAAGACACAGACCACCACAGGGAAGATGCAAGACGAAGCAGACACCATGGGAGACAAGACACAGGATCTCACCTCACAGGGAGACACAGACCACCACAGGGGAGAGATAAGACAGGACCACACCCACAGGGAGACACAGATCTGGGCCATAGGGAGACAAGCACACAGGAAGCCACCACAGGGAGAGCGTGACAGTAGACCACCACAGGGGAGACAAGACACAGATTCCCACCACAGGAGACAAGAGACACAGACCACACCACAGGGAGACAAGACAGATCACAGGAGACAAGATGCCAGGATGCTGATGGCTAGACCACCAGTGGGAGACACAATCACTGGGCAGGAGAGTGCTGAGGCGACCACCAGCACAGGGAGACAAGACACAGACCACCACAGGAGACAAGATACAGACCACTACAGGGAGAGATAAGACACAGACGCCATAGGGAGACAAGATGGACAGGACCACCTCAGCTAGGGGAGACAGCAAGACACAGACCACCACAGGGAGACAAGAGCCATGCTGCACTCACCACAGGGAGAGGCAAGACCACTACAGGAGACAAGACAGACCACCACAGGGAGATACAGACCAAATTGCTAGGAGAGACAAGACATAGGGTAGAATCACACTACAGGGAGATGACAGACCCCAGGAGATGTGCACACAGACCACTACAGGGGAGACAAGAGACCACCACAGGAGACACAGAGACCACCACAGGGAGACACAGACCACAGGAGACAAGACAGACCACTACAGGAGCAAGACACAGGAATTCACCAGCAGGAGACATTGCTGCAGACCACCACAGGAGACATGACCAATTACACAGGGAGAGAAGACAGGCGACTTTCACTGCTGAGGGAGACACAGACCACCATTATTATAAAGATGTTAGACACAGACCACCACAGGGAGGTAAGACACAGGACCAAATGGCCACAGGAGACATAGACCACCAAGCAGGGAGACAGATGCCAAGACCACCATTAGAGACAAGATGCTTGCAGACCACCACAGGAGACAAGACATGGACCACTACAGGAAGGAGCAAGATACAGAACACCATGAGAAGGAAGACACAGACCACCATTATAAAAAGCAAGACACAGACCACCACAGGGAGACAAGACAAGCACACCACAGTGAGACACAGATTCACCGCAGAGAGTAAAGACATGGACCACAGGAGACAAGACAGCCAAAGACAAACTACAGGGAGAGCCAAGACACAGACCACCACAGGGAGACAAGACAGGAGAGAGGATAAAGATGTGATCACCACATGCCAGGAGACAAGACACAGACCACCAAGCAGGAGAGATGAGACAGTTAGACCACAGGGAGACAAAGACACAGACCACCACAGGAGACAAGACACAGACCACTGCTGAGATAGATGCATACAGACCATCATTAGGAAGATAAGGACCACCAAGCAGGAGACAAGACACAGACCACCAGCCAGGATGCAAGATGCTGGTATCTCACCACAGGAGATGAAGACACAGACCACTACAGGGAGATACATACACTCCACCACAGGGAGACAAGACACAGACCACCAAGAGACAAAGACACAGAATCTTCACCACAGGGAGAGACAAGACAGACCTTCACTGCTGCCAGGGAGAGCAAGACAGACAACCATGTGAGACAAGACACAGAGCACCACAACAGGAGATACAGACCACAGGAGACAAGATGAAAGACCACCACAGAGGCAGAGACAAGACACAGACCACCAAGGGAGACAAAGACACAGATCACCACAGTGGGAGACAAGACATGAATTACCACAGGAGACACAGACCACCACAGG